TGCCCTGTCTCCCTGTGCTGTCAGTGGGAATAAGGAAGGGGTAGGAGGAAGAAAATGTGTTTTTAAGGGCTTATTTTACTTGTCATTATCGTCTTGTGACTCTGTCAATAATAAATTCATGTTTTACCTTTAAGTTGAGCCTGTTCTGCCCTGGAAGTGTTTTCTCACAGTCTTTATCTCTATTCATGAAGCCTTCATTAAGTTTTTCTCTCCTCTGCTCAGCTGTGGTAGGGGAGGGTGAATGAGTGACTTTCATGAGTGCGTGGCATTGGGCCAGTGTCAAACCAAAACACAGAGTTTTCTTTCAAGAGTTACCTGCTTCTTGCAACACCTGGGAAGAATTCCTTCAGTTATATCAGAGATATGGCTCTGGCCCATGAAAGACACTCTCTGACACTTAATATGACACCAATAAAAGCCTTTCCCTTATGCAGCAAGAGAACAAGCAAATAGGTAGGATTTTTTCTTTCTAGTTCCATCTTCATAATCTAAATTTAGGACAATGCATCCCTGTTAGATGCAGGTCTTTGCCATAGAACACAGATTTAACTGGTGACAAGGAAACAAAGTATATGGGGGAAAAGACATGTAAAACCACTACCCTGATCAGCCTGGTTAAGTAGGAAAAAAAATGTCAGGGAAACAGTTAACTAATTGATTTAAATATTTCTTTTCTCTCTACCCCCTGTGAATGGGGCTCTTGTAGTTCTTGAGAACTGAGAACTACTCCTTTGAGTAGGGAGAAAAGTGTACATCTTGCTTAATGCAGTTTTTCAACTCAGAAGTATGAGACCATATGTCAATCACTAGGATCCCATGAACAAACACCTAATTTTCATTAAATATATGTTCATTGAAACATCATTCTACTTGCTTCTCTCCCCTCAACAAAACCCATAATTTCTGTATTTTGAATACTTTAAGTGATATCACGACATCTCCAGACAAAGGACAGACACAGACACAATTGTGGAGAAAAAGATATTACACAAAGTCACATAAACCAATGGGTGACTTGACTTCACCTCAGCTAGGAGAAGCATCAAAAGACAACAATTGTTTTCACACTTAGCGAATTCTGTTACATTTACAAACCTTTTTACTTCACCCCCCTCATCCATCCGAGACTCACTTTCTCCCCTTTTTAAATTAAATTGTCCTTTTGGGTTCCCCAATTTCCATTTCAACAGTACACACAAAGCTCTTCTGTCTTCATAATATTTAGAAATTACTGTATTTTCCTCTTCATTTTTTATTCACCTTTGATTCTGAGGTGAAAACAGAAAAAGGATTATCACCAGATCAGTGCACATACAGGTTCACAGAAGCACCTGACAAGAAGCACTTGTCATAACAAACAAAAGTGGCTTTTTTTGTTTGCCAGAACTGATACCAGATTATTTTACATTCTTAAACTTCTGACAGCAGTACTGACATTGTGTATAAAATCTTACGGCTAGAAGCTACAAGACGACTTTCTGAAAATATTTTATAATTAACTGAATTCTGTTCACTGTTCATCCTGTGTGTCCAGTTACACTGGAAAACAGTGTCACTGCATCCACACCCTGCAACACCGCACTTGCAGCAAAAACCCCTTGGACACCATGGGTTCACATACTTGCCATGTGACTAAATATGATGACACATTGCCCTGCAGCACCCACAAAGACACTGCTTATGACCATAGTACTGCACAATAGAGCACTTCTAAGCTCTCAGTTCAAGGTCTACTTATTACTGCAACTCTGAACAAATGAGCAAGTATAACAATAAACTAATGTATCTGAAGAAGAATAAAAATTAATAAAAGCAGCAGAATTTGGGACAGTCCAGTTCATCATGTTTGTATTACTGGATGTTGCTGAACAAGAAATAGGCAGCAAGGATTATTACAAAATGTTGATAGTTTCTTAATAGGAGAAAAAAAATAATATTACATTTTATAACTGTAGGAGAAATTTAAGAAGCAGTTGGTAAAGAATAAAAAAAAATAAAGAAGTTAAAAAAACCCCAAACCAGCCAACCAGGAACTCTCCCAACCTCTCAACTCTCACAACAGAAAAGAGGTAAGGAATAGAGAGCAATAGGAAGGGGGGTGGAGGGGAAAGTGGGGGGAGCAGAAAGAAGGAAAGAAGAAGAAATTAAGACAGGTAGAAAACCTAAGTTGGTTTTCAGCCATACTGAATTTTAAAGAGTTGCAAGAATTAAAAATGCGAAGGATCATTCTCTCCACAGAGTAAGAATCATCAGAGACAAGTATGACAGATAGATAGCTGGGCATTAATGAAGACTACAGAGACATTCTGCCACTGACTTCACTTCTCCCCACATAATTCTCTTCTCTATAAGCAGTGTTTCCAGTGTTCAGCTCATCTCTGTCCATCATAATCATATCCCTTCCTGCTCCTCTCTGTTGGCATTAGCATGACCATGTATAGCAATCTCAGAATCTAAACTCTATTGACTAGAAGGATAGTGCTTGGACTAGAAGTAGACTGGAGGATGGAGATGTCAATTCAGAATCTGAGATAAAAGATGAGGAGTTAGAATCACCAATTTTGCCTCATGGCATCAGTTTTGTTTTTACAATTATTAGCGAAACCCAAAGAAGCAAAAGAGAGAAGTGGGGTGAATAGAAAGAAAGGTTACATAGTTATGAACTTACAGTAGGAACAGGTCAATTAAGAAAGCAATACCATCTAAACATGGAAAAATACCACTACTGATGAATGGCTGAAATTTGCATGCAATGGGATGTTCGCAGAGCAGGATCGTTAAGAAACTAGCATAAAAGACATTAAGAACAGCCACAACACAGTGAGATAAAACCCAATTATATAAGATAAGAGTCCACACATGATACACAACTGGGAGACTTCAAAAATGTATTTCAGCATTGAGCAGTAGTTTTTGTTCAGGAAGCACAAATGTAAGTCATATGAAGGCCTCCAACTGATGTAGTACAGTGCCATTTTTATCACCTCCATGTAAAGTTTTGTCTGCAATGGCTATAAAATTGAAGACAGTGAATTAAAACTAACAAAGCTTGTCTAATTTCAAAACCAAATTGATTTTTATTCATTTAAAATAAGCAAAAAAAAAAACCTGTTTTATTTTTTTTTTACTAGAGAAAGCAATTTAGTCCAGAACTACTTTCTCAAAATCAAACCAGAACAGTAGCAACTAGAATGTTAAAATCTAAATAATGCTGCAAAGCTTGATACCTGAAGTTATTAAAATTCATGCTTAATACAACTTTTACACATATTAGGGAAAAAAATTAAAGAAAACCCAAGTACTACAAAATATATCTTAATCATTTTTTCATGGCAACTTGAGACTCTCATTCTGAATGTTTTCACGTTTACATTAAAATTTTAAAACACTTGATATTAATGCTTATACCTAGGTTCAAATTAAACTGCATCTAAAGGAAGAACTACTGTTCTCCCCAAAGGGCTAAGAGACCCCTCCACAATGCAAACAGTATCATCTTTACATTGACACTGCACTCAGATACAAACTACTTTAAAAACACAGCATTTAATCACAAACATTGGAGGGCTGATTTTCACTGTAACATATCAGGCCACTACATAGCCCTTAACAGACAGGACTAGCACAATCTTTGCTAAAAGCTCTCTCAATCCAAATGAAAGGAAACCTTTCTGCAAGTTTGGCAGACTTCCCAATCTTTAGTAAATATGTGGTCATCTTGATTTAAATAACAAAAACAATCATAACAGGCAAAGAAGCAGTCCAATTACATCGGGCACAGGCTCAACAGGACACACGTAAACCTAGCAGAAGACATCAAAAGAGTCTGGTTGGAGGAGGAAAAAAGCAATTTCAGTGAAATAATTTCATTTCTTAGAAAGGTTGTGTAATCACAAATAGAACAAAGTTTTCATTCAACAATTGTCATCTCAAGATGTTACAACTCAAATTCAACACTGATTAATATAGTTTATATTCACACTAATTTCCCATTGTGCTGTTAGAAGCAGAAGAAATCAATGTAATTCTGTTGGAAACAACCAAAGCCAAAGCCACAGTAACAGCCTTTGAATATATGCTTACTTGTGTGTTTATGTCATTTGCATTGTGATAGCTCTCTTCTTACAGATCTTCTGTTTCAAAAAGAAAGACAAACAGTACTCATTTTCTTTATGGTCATTTACTACACAAGACAAAAGAAAAGACAGCAGGAAGGGAAGAAGAACAACACCAACAGCAACCACCACCACCAATAAAACAAACTCCCAAGCTTTCTCTTTTATCCTCTGTGGAAAAGTAAGAAGAGACGGAAGAGAAATACCCTGCGCCTGTATGCAAGTTGCACATTCTACAAAGTCTCATTCTAGAGATACTTGGCTACATATTTATCAGAGTTTATGTGTCTGGCCTCTTGCCTGTGTGACACAAATAAATCTGCATTTAGTAATTCCCCTAGAGAGAGATCTCAAATCTGAAGACTCACCTTGTTACCCTTAAACAAATCCAAGTACCTTTGTGGGCAACAATATTTTTAGATCAGAAATTATTCCTGAAATTGAATTTTAACCTTGTAAGTTTAGTGAGAAATATTATTCATAACCACAATTGTCTAAAAATAATTCAGATCTCCTAAGAAACACTTTGTTTATGTGAAACTTAAAACATTCTGGTTTAACATACAACATCTCTAGATGTATAATTCTTCAGGTCTGAAGTTCAACTATTATTGTACTTGTAAAATGAAAAAAATCACAATGTATACTTTTCCAGCAGCAATGAACAGGTCCTTTTAGAAAATATGGTAGTAAAAACTAAACCCTGTCTTAACTTTTATCATTCCTTTTCTCTTCAGAAGAAGTTTCTGTTGATACTGTTTTTATTGCTCCATTATATTTATAGATAAATCTTGTATTTCCCTACAGAAACTATACAGCATGAAGGGAGATGCTGGGTAAGAAACCACATTCAAATGACAAAAATTATTTGAAAAGCAGACTTACCATCTGTAAGGTCACTTTCATGAAGACTAGCTGTATGGAACTTGGACTTTAGGGATGCAATGTGAAGCTGAAGAGATTCTGTTTCTCTCACTAATACTTCAACTCTGGAAACTGCAAGTTGGTAGACTTCCATGAAACTTTGAATCACAGGCTTTAAAAAGTAAAGTAAATCATCAGTGCCAGACAAGCTATACTTAAAATGCCAAGTAGCATACATCATTACAAAAGATCTAATTTTTATTCATTGGAAAAATCAAATAGAAGTTGTAAACCAGGCACTTAGTTTGTAAGTCAAGACTTAACCAAAGGTCTAACATAAGATTTTGTACTTCTTCAAAAATCTGAAATACTGATAGCATCGAGGAAAAGCAAATGACTGTGCACCCCAATTACAAAGTGAGCTGTTTACAAGCATGTAGTACTGCATTTAACAGCTGACACTTATTTAACTACAAAACTCAGTGCACATTCAGTTTATGTTTATAAAGAATCACTACACAATTTTAGGTGAATTTCCGTACTTTCAAGATGAGTCCTCCCACTTCATGATAAGAAAACTAATTTGTCAGAAACAAAAGAAATATGGTAAAGCTACAGATCTCTGGCAGTAAATAATCAGACTACAATATAGGTGGAAAATATAATTGTTTTCATGTATATAAGAATGCATGTAAGAATGTCCCAGTTGTGCAGTATCAATCAGACTGACAATAAAATTAGCAGCACAAGAGAACAAATGATTTGATATTAGTGGTAACTTCATATATATCCTAAACAGTCTAACATCTTTAAGATTATTGGTCTTCTTTACAATGGGTTAATGACATTTTATAAGTTACAGTTTTCCCATTTGAAACAAGCTGTAGCAAGTTGCAACCGTAAGAATATATTACAGATAATATGAAATTGGCATTCTGAATATGTCTGTAGAAGACCTATGAACTTAGTACCACAAACAGGCATTCACTAAGATTTTAACAGTTTTCCTTTCTTTGTCTTCAAATGCACTGCTACTTTTCAGAATAAAGGTAACATCACTGAAATCAATCAGGTTATTTTATTGTGAAGTACAGAAAACTGCCATGGCAAGCCAACACCAACATATTGTTTCTTATCAGAAAAAATATCCAAAATGTTTTAAATACTATGGTGCTAACCCAAATAGTATATTCACATAGCTCTGCAAGCCTGCCACTGTCAGGTCTAATCCTACTTTTAAATTTTTTTTTATTTCACATTCAACACAACTAAAATGCTGCATCTATTCAGAAACAATACCAATCAGGAACGGGAATATATCTCATACTCCACATAATACTGCCTGAGAGTCTTCAAATGGCAACAGCCCACATGTTAAAATTGAGACATATTGAAATAGGACTACTACCTGGGCCTGTGACCCATAAACAAGGATTATACAATTAAATAAAAAGCTGTGTCTCAAATCTCACAGAAAAAAATCCTCATGTGTTCATTTAACTTCACATGATATTTAAAGGTTTCACCAAACTAGAATTTAAAGAGACATTTCCTTAACTTCTTCCTTTTACCTCTGCTACTACAAAACTAGTGAAGACACTAGATCTACAGCTTTATCCTACACCTCCACAGGCACTCTTAAGTCCATGCAGTTATCTGAAAGAGAGTTTTCTAATTCCTTGCTGACTTACTCAGATATTTAATTTGTTCTCTCATTTAATGAATTTGAAAACTTTAAATCTAGGAGAAATGCATTAATGAACTTTCATTTTCACACATAGCAATTTTTTAATAATAATTTAGATTTCTTTTTAGTCCAGAAGAAAGTAGTTCTGAATGTGAAAGGTGATATTTATGCACCCACACGTACACATTCCGTCTAGTAAATCCCAACTCTCTAGCAAAGAGTAACAGTTAGTTCAGGTCTCTCTTGCTCAGGAACAGGTTAGGACAAACATTATTTTTGGGTCTTCCAGGGAGTGGCATGAGCATGAAGAATACTTATTCTAAATTACATCTGAGGAAAGGCAAATATATTGGGTTTTGAGATGTGCCACTGGAAGGCACAAATGATTTTAAGAAACTTTTGTCAGTCAGAGATTGAATGATGCATCTGTTTTCAACAATACAAAATTTCCACTTACTGGAAAGCCTGATACTTAATGAAACTACATAGAACCTGGCCACTTGCAAGTTATAATATCTGTCACCTAATTATTAAATGCATCAGTAAAGAAGTTCAGAACGTCAGTTTAGATCCCTGTTTGAACATTACAGATACAAATATATCTCCAGCTCTGGAAACTGTTCTGTGATCAAGAAAACCAGTTGACAGAATTTCCCAGAATGCAAATCTAGCTCTGCAGAAATTTTCACTCCAGCTTTCTTTTGTTTTAAAGCACACATAGCAGGAAGTTGTATATATAGTTTTTAAGTATATATAACAAAAAAATGTTTCAGCAACACTCATGATTATTTTTTATAACATAAAATTTGGCATTTATACACATCTGTATGGTCTTCATTTTAAGCAAGCACTTCTCGTTTTGAACGTGCTGGTAATAGTGTGACAATAAAACTGTGAGCAGACCATAAAACAATAAAAATTTGTATTCAGTTACACACAAAGTGTTTCAAGAATGCTCACCAGAAAATTACTTATGTTCAGAAAGGCAAGATGTAGTGATCCCCAAATCTTACAGGAATAAATATTACTGCAACTCATTTTGAAAGTCTAAAACATTTTTAGACAGATGAGTGTTGTAGGAAAGTTAGTGGGGAGCAGACTTAATCAAGGAGGTCACAGAAACAGTGGAGTTGAAGAATACTGATTTTAAACATTACTGGCTCTAGGTGTTCCTCCCTGCTTTTTCAAGGGGCTTGGACCAAAGGACCATCAGAGGTCCCTTCCAACCTCAACCAAATTCAGTGGTTATAAATTCATCCTGGGGATGGAACACAATGCAGTCGTTGAAATTTACCTAGGACTCTCAATTTTAAGAGCATAAATTGTAATTGCTCCTCATTATTCAAAAACAAAAAGAAGAAACAATCAGATGCTGAACTTTTTTTTAGAGCAATCTCTTTCTTTTCACTCCACACAATGCTTTAATGTATAGAGGATGTCACTATTATTTATGACATCAACATCCTACAACACATACTACTGATATGGTAGAAGCAAATGGTAGGAGTGCTTTTAATCCAAAAGCATCTGTGAGGAGACCCCTGTTCCAGCACTAAGACAAGACACAAGAAGCTTCATGAAAACTTCAGATGCATGAATTCCCAGATAACTTGCTACAAGTCACAAGATAAAACTATATTCAAACAGTTGGCTTGTAAAAAGGATGCTTTTAGGCTGAAGTTGTTGGACTAGGAAGAAAATGTGCAAGAGTACCGCAATTCTGTTTTCAAATAGAACTTTCAATGTACAGATTATTTTAAGCCTAAATATTTCTAACAATCTCTTTTTATTACAGCTTTTGACAATTTAAAACAGTATCCTTATCTAGAAATTCCCTAAGAGCACTTTAACAGTCTTTGAGTGCAAAATCAAAATATTTTAAATATCATGGTGTTACTCATGTCATAAGAGAACTAGGCATTTTGAACTTTAGATCTTTATTCAATTATAAAAATGGCCTCTGACGATTTGGAGTGGAAGAAGGCTTTTATGACCTGTATGCATAAAAGTATTGGCTTTGGCTACAGGTCGGTGAAGATGAGAAACCAAAGTTGAGAGTAAAAATGAAATTAATTAAATTCATGTTGTTTATAAACCAAAAATTGTGAACATCAGTGCAAAAGAGCAACATTTAAGCCTTGCTTTCTTTCTCCATATTAATCTTTAAAAGCACTGAGAACACTTAAGCTTAGGACAGTTCTCCAGGGAACATGTAAACCCATTTTTGAATAACCAATCATTATCTAGTTCAGTACATAATTTATATAACCAGTAATTTTCAGGTGGATAGTGCTATACATGCTGTTAAACTGCATTTGCATGTATTTATTCCTGTAAATCTACAAGACTGAAAGACTTCAATCTGCTGGAGTACTTTAAATAAAGTGCAAAATGGCTAAAACTGACAAATTACATAACAATCAAGAAAGTGGAAACACAAAAAGAAAATCAATCTTTTAAAAAAAATTAATTTATGAAATTCAAAGGTTATTCAAACCTCAGTGCTCATTGAAGTTATAGTAGAAACATACAAGAAATACACATATCAGCAATGCAAATTAGCAGAAAACCTCCCAACGAAGTGTTAATGCATTTATCATACATTATAAAAAAGGCCTTTTAAACTCCCACTTTAAACACTATACATATTGTCTCCTTTGTTCTTAGTGTTTGGCCATTGAGAACACAGTTTAAAAAAATTATTTGGATTATGAGTTACAAACTGTAGTGAATGAAAATTTCCATATGAAGTTTTACACTATTCTAAAGTTACAAATAAAATACCAAATTATTAAAAAACAGTTTGTTTATGTTTGTATCAATGCTATTACATTATCTCAGGACTTACTTGCCCTGCTGCTATCATAGGACTGCATTTCATGTTTGGAAGGAACAAACCTAAAGGAAGGAGACCTCATGGTGAAATGATGCTTAATAAAAGGTGCCAAAAAGACTAACAGCCTGACAACATAAGCATTGACTTTGTAACATCCGATGAAGCAGTCAGAGTAAGAACACCATCTACTTTATACAACATACTTTAAAAAACAAAGATGTACAGAAAAGTTGAAACTCATGTTTGACTGCTCGGTTCTTCCTTCAGGAATTCTTCAGCTAAACACAGTGCTAGCATGTAGCAAATTACCCCAGGACTACAATACAAAAAGATAAAAAAGAGCAAGAGAAGGAATAATGAATGAACTTCAGAAGAATGCAAGATTTAACACTGGCAAACTAAATTAGCAAACTGCTTACATGAGAATCTGAAAAGACTGAGAATTTCATTTATGGTACAGAGTTTGGCTGAAGTGGAATTCAGGCAAGAGCAGCTGGTGTGAAAGCAAAAGTCCATGGAATGAAGTTCCATATGCCTGTCATTACTGCCTTGCTTTCAACAGACATAAATAAGACTCATTAAAATGAGTCCAGAAAACAAAACATACATCAATTACTTTTTGTTTTCATAAACAAGATTTCAGGATAATTATTGTATCTTTAAAGAGCTATATTTGGAGAAGTAATTATTACAGTGATTTTCCCCCATACATCTTAGAACACTTGAAAACCCATCCTGGCTGCCTTGACCCACAGTCCAAAATGTCTAGTGGCATCAGTGAAGGATATAAATACAGCAGCTTCCCTGGCATGGGGGAAAAAACCTCAAGGGAAACAGTATTCAGCAAAATTGCACTTTTGCAGCTGTTTGGCACTTCTTTAATGATCTATTCTCCTTGTATCTCATTTCAACACTAAACTTTTTGTTCAGTTCCATTCAAGCATGGCATGCACAATTTAAAGGTGCCAAAAAGCAGGTCAGTTTTGTTACAACTTTTTTTTTCCCCCCAACGAAAGCTGACTCGGTGCCACACACGGGGCCTAACTCTATCCCCTTCGCTTCAATAACAATTACTTTACCCTGTAGGTCTCAGCAGATAGCCCAAGGGAATGAAGCTCTAAATAAAAGGCTAGATTCTCTGCAAGAGGTAATGACATGACTTCCTACAAGAAAATTGAAAAGGGAGCATTGAAATTGACAGCGATGGAAGAGAAAGTGCTTCTTCTGGAAACCACAGTGGATGGGCGTAACAATTGCCATGAAAATTATTACAAAGTGTAAGACTTTTAGAAATTACCTCAATCTTTTAGAAACTGATAAATTAGGACAAATGTGTTTAGTTGGTATGACTAGGCAGAAAGCATCCTGAGAATTTTATAGCAAACGAGCTAGCTACCTGCAGCCGTGACTATTTAGAAATAACTCTGGACTATGCAACAAAATTGTCAATTAACAAAATTAAGTAAATACAGTTTTTTATAGTCCAGTGATGTTTATATACAAAGAAAGATCATTCTCACTGTCTATTGCACAAAGCCAAGCACAGTTGAATGCAAAACGTAAAGGAGAAACAATTCCTGTCCCAAAGAATGTGTAGCTTAAGCTAAAAATGGGGAAAATGTTACCAATGCATTGTATTCTTCCCATCCTCTTACATAGTCTTGATTCAAAGTAAATATTTAAGTTTGTGAGGAAGGGTTAGAATTTTTAAGTGGTTTTAGCGAGAAAGAAATGGAAATTTAAATAAGTTTCAGGCTGGTACCCTGTCTTCTTTCCAGTGTGTATCAGGGTTTTTTTTTCAGAGTATATTCTAGACAGTGATGAAAGAGAGCAGGATAGTCCCTGACACTGCTATAAAGACTACATTTAAGTGAGTTTGATGTGAAAATCTACCAAATGCAAGCATAATGCATTACCACAGATGAGAAGAACCAGACAGCAGCAGTCTTACTACAAAATATGATAGCATTCCATTACACATTCAGTCTTGAGGAGAAAGAAGAGACTAAAAATTATCATCAAAATTCAGTAGAAAAAGACAAGTGAAATACAAGTTGTCTGAATCTTGATGATATTGCCTTTGGTCTATTGAAGTGACATCTGGAACCAGGAAAAATGTACAACTGTTGAAGTATGGAATTCTGTTTTCCACAACCAAATATCTATTAGCAAAACAAATTTTAAAAAGCAGTATTTCTCATTTCCTCATTCCTTAAAATGACATACTATTCCTTATATCTAATATATGGATATCTTATATAAACAAAACAATTTTTATAGATCAATGTTACCTAAACACTAAGTCTGAATTGCCTAAAATCTATTGATTTACTATAGGTGAATGTGTAGGAGAACGATTTAAGGAGGGGAGATAAGCAGATATTAATCTATCAGATTACTAACTAGAAAAATCTAAAGTAGCTTCACATGGCTTGTGAGATAAATGTGAGATCTGAAAATCTCTTCTCTTTGAAATGCTGTCCACAAACTGCCCAACATAAGTAACTAATTTAACTATTTGCCAACATAGTAACTTACTGAAAATCAGAATATTATTTTTCATTGATTTAAAAAGTGCTCACTTAACTAAGACCAGTTTACATTACTTTTAGGAAAGAAATATGCTTTACTTGTGAAAAAAATACTGACTTAGTTTTAACCACTGTAGAAAAAGTCTGTCGCTGACTCCAAGAGAAAAATAATGATCACCCCACAAAATCTGGGCTCAGTATAGACATTTCCTTAAATATTTTGACTAGAGCTTGAAGTGGTATAGATTTTTCTCTTCCAGCCACAAGAAGCAGCTTTTTAATTGCATATTAAAACATTTTCAAACTGAAGTAAATATTTTTCATATGGAAAGAAGGAGGAAATGTCCACTTTTTATTTTCCACGCAAAAAAGGGAGCATACTCTATGCTCTAGTTGCCATTTACTAGGAGAGATGAAGGTCTCTTCTGGCAGGTTTAGTTAATATGACAAATGCAATTGTGTGGCTCACGCATTAATACTCACTACTGAAACCTAATCCTGGTATCAGATTTTAGGTGAATACTTAAGTCTAAAGAGCCTAGGGGCTAGAAAATTGTGCAAAGTTTTGTGAAACACCTGCTTAATTTCTTCTGTTTTTCTTAAGAATGCTCATGGTAGCAATTCAATTCAATTCAACATAAGTATTTAATCCTACATAAAGAAATATTTTGTTGTTTTTCAAAGAAATTCTGAAGTATACCTGCTTGGTTGGATCACAAATTAATTTTTTCACTTTGGCTTCCAATTAATTACAGAAATTCATGATGCCAGTACAGGAAAAAGCAATAGTCAATTTCTCTAGAGAATGTAATTATCAAGAAAAGTTGAACTGCATTCCTCAAATTCATTGCTACACCCTTAATCTAATGTTAACTGTCACAAATAGGATGGACAGGTGTCTTCCCTTCATTCTGCCTAAACTCAGATGTTAATAAAATAACTAATTTATTCTACAAATTCTTAAACAACATTAAAAAAACCCCAACAACATGCAAATGATTAGATTTTTAATCAGACTTGCATTTATGCTATGAAAATGTTTTATTAGAAATTTCAGTGACAACAGCTTTTGTTCCAAAATATGAGGAAGAAATTTAAAGAACACAGTACACCCAATACCAAATCTCACAATGACCACATACATTAGCATCCCCCTTTCCAAACTAAATGTCTGACGGAAGTGGCATCATCACTGAGCTTGACAATTTGCTATCCTTAAAGATTACTATTATATTAATATTTTTTTCACAGAGTTTGCTTTTAACCACCATAATCTGAGGAAGAACAAATAAAAAGATTCCTATCATCTCTGAATATTTAGTTCTACAAAAATGGATTTACAGCTGAAGAAAACTCTTGGTGGGAAAAAGCGATTGTGTTTGTCTTTTTGGCATTTGTCATATGAGATATTAGCTCAGATCAGAAAGGTATAAACACCAAACAACACAAGCTAAAAACTGGTGGATGAGTAAGACTCCCCTGTACTGAAGTCTGGCCTCTTCTGTGCAAGAGGTCAAGAAGCTAAGTGAGAAAGCTGTTCACTTGGAACAAAAGGTTGAAAAAGTTGTGTAATGCATCTGGTCCAGGTAGCTGGACAGGCAAGCTAGAGATTGAGATGCAATGTGAGCTCTGGGTGGGAGCCTGAGGCAAGAGGCTGTGAAGTGCCAAACTTCAGGATAACTAGGGGCATGAATATGGGTGACAGCAGCCAGGTGAATGGACACTGATAGACACATCAGGAGCTGGGAATTGCCTACCTTTTGGATCATAACTGAAAGGCCTAAATTAAGTTAGTCCATCCTAACTTAAAAAGAGAAAAGAGAGTAATATTTTTCAAACTACTTTTCATGTTAATTCATTACTATTTCTGTTATCCATTTTTCAGAGTTGGACCACAACTTGCAGTTAGGTAATTTTTGAGTAATTGTGCCTATGAATGTTGCTAACATAGAAATCATTTCAATAGCTTACAAACTCTAGAAACTACAGATGATTTCTACTGTTTTCACCTTCAATAGCTTACAAACTTTAGAAAGTACGGATGCTTTCTACTGTTTTCACCTTCTTGTAGTTCAGAAACAAGGAAAGCAACCTGAAAAGAAACTTCAGCTGGCATGTCCAAGAATGAAAGGTGATTATGACAGTCAGTGCCAAAATATGACTATATAAAGAAAGGTAAACTGGATATACTCATTAACATTTTAATAATAAATTAAAGAGTAGAAGCCATTTCCAAAAAAAACCTAAAAACAGTTTTTCAGAAAGCTCGTAGTTAAACTGCAGAAGACCTTTCCAGAAGCCATGTGAAAATGCTTACCTTTACATGGGTTCAAAGAACATAAGAAAATAAATGGGTGTTGAACATAAAAAATATTATTTTTTCTTCAGAAGATCTGTCAATTTAAATGGTGAAGGCTGGGAAAAATTCTGGAGACATTTTAGCATTGTTTCTTTTTCCCTGCCCAGTCTGTTTTTAAGCAGGAACAAACAGTTTACTGCTATTCTATGTGCCCTCTAGGCATTAGATGCTTAT